TCTGTTTGTTTACAGGTAATGTAATAATGTCTCCAGACAAGGATCAAGTTATTGGACGCCTTATCTGCAGGCAAAATGACAACCTGTTATGTAAATTTGAAAGTGTGTGTTAAACATCAGGATCGAGGAACGCTAGCTTGTGTTTTGTTTTAGATTTTAAGCTGCTAAATCTTGTTAAGAATAATGAAATGAATGGATATAACCCACTCTGAAAGAGACTCAAAGGTAAGATGTTCTCGTTTCACTCTCTTGCATAGTTTTCAACGGAAATCATACATATTTTGAGACTTATATTCCAATCAACGAATGGGGTTTCACGATATGTAAGCTCTCGAATCTTAACATTTCGGATAATGCTTAAATCACCAGTTACTGTTTACCATTTAACCATCTGACAAGCTGACGGAAGATTAGTTCTAAGGTCATCTACATACTATTGATGTAGTATTTGAAAGTATGATTGAATATTAACTTGAAGATACTTCTGCCGTTCAATATTGCTGATATTAATAAGCATCCACTCCCTTATTTGCAAACTTAATTTTCATCAATTATCGAGTTGTTCGAGGACCGCGGCCATCAAAATGTCAATAGAGGAAGAACTCTTGTTTCTTCAATTCATCTGCACACGAAAAATGAATCAGCCGCTTATGTGGACGATTGTACATAAGAAATCAAAGTGAATTACACCATTTAATACAAGTTCATAGTTAGATACAGTAGAACAAATCGATAAAATTAAGCGTATATTTATGATTTGAAGCGGTTATTTTTTAAGAGGCTTGCAATATAAGCGTTAGTTTAAACAATATTTTATTTAATAATCAGCAATTTGACAGGTACAGATAATTTTAAGGGACGGGAAAACAAGCTTAGAGCTTATATTAATTTCTTTACCAAAAGTTTGAACGTTTTCTTTGCTATATATAGTTGACAAGTGTAAGGTGTAGATATAACAAGGTCATTCATGACCAGGATGCGTCGGACATTTCATATAATCAGGTGAAACAGAACGTCGACGTTTGCTCACACATATTGAGGTTGATATACTTGTTTTCGTTAACTTTGTCACTAATAGATACAATACATACACCTGAGGATCAGGAATATGGCAGATGGCATTCTGATACCAAAGATCAAGCATTTGTAAAGTATTAATCGTGTATAAAGGTGAAGAGATGTGAGTGACGTTGTAAAGGAATGGGTGAAGTCAACTCCAGAAAAAAATGCAGAAAAAAATGTATTTCATCAAGTGTACTATAAAAACTTTATACCAAGTACAAGGAGGTACTTTTCTTGTCGTATTTCACTCGCGCCTTTATTTTGGGGAGCAAATAACATTTGCTGGTCTTAAGACTGTTTGATATAATGTAGAAAGTGAACTACTTGACCCATAAGTAAACAGAAACATGGTTGTTGAAATTTAGGAGTTTGTTGGCTTTCATGTTTACCTGGTTTTACTTTGTCTAGAATGGAGTGTGAGTAACAGAATAACAGCACGTGACAACGAGTGATTGCCATTGGCTTTATAAGAGCTGTTACTGGAGATATAGTAAATGCCTGCTTCCTCTTTTGTGTAATGTGTTATCTAATCTGTACTACGCCATCGATTTTAAATCACAGAGTTACGTCATCTGTCAGCAAACAGGTAAAACCTCTATCAACCCTAAAATATATCGTTTTTTTAACTTTAAGGTTTTGTCCATTGAAGTTGCAAACCCGAGACACAATGGCGCATGTTGCGAGTATGAGTATCATTGTTACGTATACAGTCGTTAACTTCTGGCTATGGAGTTATGGATATTGTTCGGTTCCACTTGATGATTTTTATGATGCCGGAAACTTAAATTGTCTCAAAGATGATGGTTACTATTATTCAGAACTTGTAAACCTGGCTAGTGACTTTGACTTTTTTGGAGACAAATATAGAAGTATATGGGTAAGTTTACTATGAGAAATAATTAAATATATTCAACACTTCATGCATACATTCTGATGTATTAAAGATTAATTCAGGACTTGGACTAGTATGTGAATATCTAAAATGTTGATTTAATTCAAGGCAAGGACTAGTTCGTGAATCTTCAAAATATAAGTCAACTCAGGCGTAGGACTAGTTCGTGAATCTTCAAAATATAAGAGCTAGGTAGTGTTAGTGAGTCTGTAAAATGATATTTTAATTCAGGACTAGGACGAGCTCGTAAATCTGTGAAACGTACGTCAACTCAGGACTAGGATGAATTCGTGAACCTTCTAGTTTGAGAATCAGTAAAATGTTAAGTTAATTAGAGCTAGGACGAGTTTATGAATCTTTAAAATGATAAATTAATTTAGGGCGTGTTTGTGAATCTGTAAAATGATAAGTGATGATGGTGGCGCTGTATGATATTTGCTACCAGTTACGTATATAGGCAATGAACATCAATTAAGCTTATTCTGTAGATATTGTTATTACTTATTTATACAAATTATAATATTTTGTTATCTTTATTATAGATAACTGCTAATGGTGCCATGTTTTTTGTCGACAATGTTACCTTCCCAGTTGCACTCTTGACTCCATTTTACGTTCTTAATTATTGGAAAAGTACAAAAAGAGTTTGTTGGAAGGAAACTACCTCAGAAAAAGAACTCGAGCGGGCTGGAGAGGAGATAAGATCTTACTTCCCAGAACTTGTGAACTTCAATGTGTCCTGGGTACTCATAGTGTCGTGGATTGATGTAACCCCATGGTCTTGTGACTTCAGTGGCAAAAAATGTGTAGGTTACATTGTCTGTTGGGATATCAGTATTAAGTATTGAGCTTTCTCTATTGCAGGTACAGCTTCCCACTGCTACGTGTTAGGCCTCCCGCTCTAATCATGTCAGTAGATTTTATAAAATCCAAATTTTAAAAAAGAAACGTATCGAATTATTTGATTTAATGAGAACTTTATATTTAGATTGATAAATAGGCAGCAAAATATGACCTGCTTTTCACATATTAATGTTAATTGGAATGCAAAGGAATATTTTGTGTCTATGTCAAGACTTTGAGATTTGATTCTTGAAATAGTTTGATTTTAAAAAGTATTTTATCTTTTTCATGCCTTGTTGTTATTCTTACACAGATGTATTAACTGAAATATTCATTGAACATATGTTAGAAAGATAAAACTGCATATTTGGAAGCATTTCTTTTTCGGCTTATCTTGAACTTACATATTAACTTGTATTACTTACTTACCACAAATGTAGGTAAGTGGTAGGACAATCAACCCTAGCGGCAGAGGACGCTTTCTCTTCCGGAACACCCGGTCTTTTTGCTTCTTGTATTTTTTTTTTATATTTTGCTGTAGGTTTATTGAATTTGTGTTCAGATTGTGGTTATGCGCACATGTTGGTCAACATATTTTCTTGATTTTAATTTTTTCTTTTTAAGAGTTACAGATTAGTAGATACATATAGTATATTATCTTATATCTTAGTGTCAGAAGTAATTAACTGTTTATGCTCTCTTAATGCAGTTATTTACATAGCAACCTATATTCACTTGTTTGACTTCAGAAGTTCACTATTGTTCAATTTTATCACTTAAAAACGGGAAAACCTGTTTTTTTTGTTTTTGTTTTTGTTTTTGTTTTTTTTTTTTTTTTTGTTGTTGTTTTCCTGTTATGCATGCCTCCTGCAATAATGAAGAAAATACCCATATATTCAACTTTCCCTTAAAAATTGAAGAGAAAAATTAATCTACATATACAGATATAAAATTAATTGATGCGGAAAATACTGAAGATGATTTGATTTATTGGTTTCCATGCTTCCATTTGGTTAACACACATGTATGTAGTTATGTTGGCTCAAATCACGGCTAGCCATTGTGGGTTCCATTTTGATGTATGAAGTAGTTCAAGGCATGTCTGCTCACGGTACAGTTTTAGAAAAAGCTATCTCTGCTCCTTTCGTTGTAGGGAAAAGTCGAAGTAATCAGGTAATTTCAATGTCACTTCAAATTATTTTATTTCATTTCTAGGCTATCGGTATTCCGAGCAATACCTTTCAGGCAGTGCTGATGACTGACGACATTCTGTCTTTCGTCGTTTACAACTACAACAAGATAGGATACAGCAGGCATTGCTGTGGAATCTACCCATTCTACGCACAGGTAAATTATCTTTGATATGTTTATATATGTACATTGCGCGCGTTTCATTGTATCGCTTTGCATACTGAATAACTAGTTCTATACCGAGAAGACGACATTTAAACAGCTCAACAAGTATTTATATCAATCATCTTAGTTATTGTGAGGAAGCTACATCAATAAATAAAAAGTATATAATTCGACAGGTTGGTTTCAATAAGGGGGATGGTACCCACTACCACTTTTTGGAGGGATCAGGCACAGCCTACATTAATACGGTGGTATCACGTAGCAACGTGAACCGGTCAGGCACGTTCGTCTTCAGACTAAACGGGTACATGGCACGCCCCGTAAAGGTCGCCGACATAGTGTTTCTGATAGATTCTTCCTACAGCGAGAAGGATCATTTTGACAGTGTCCTTCAGTACATAGTCAACGTTACGGACAATCTCAACATAGCTGCTAATGAGACACAGGTAGCTGTTGTAAGTTTCTCCGCGACAGCCCAGGAGGAGCTCGATTTCCTATCCTGCACGAACAAGGACTGTGTTCACGACCGTGTTTTGAACATATCCCATCTCAATAGCACCTCACACATGGAAACCGGGCTAGATATGGCAAGGTTTGATCCTCTATCCATCTACGTATGATTCCTACTTCGTGGAAATAGTATTTGTATTCATGTGTTATTTTTGAAGTGCAAGCAGATATTTTTATACTGTTAACGATAAAATGTTTGAGGATTTTAGTTTCAAGCTATTATCGAAGATGAACCAAAATCACTAAATGAATCTGACAAAATATAATTTAGGAAGAAAACCATAGTCTTTACAATATTATCTGCTTAAATATGGTGTCCTACTATTCTTCCAGCGACATGTTCCAGTGGACGAAGGGAGGAAGACAAGCTGCGGTGAAGTACGTTGTTGTACTAAGTGATGGACTGGTCAGTGAGAGGATGAAGGTCAAACGTAAAGCGAGATTAATGTCCGATAGACACGGTGGTATCACAGTAGTAAGTGTTGGACTTGGGCGATCTGTGTATCACACCATACTGGAGAGTGTAGCCTTCAATAGTTCATACTTACTGGCACCAGATCCTGGCAAATTGCTGGACCTTCTGCAGTTAGAGCTGCAAGATCAAAACACTACAGGTAACTCACATGTCGATACCCCATGAAATATTGTTACTCATCGTAGTTACTCTGTATACGATATTTCCCTGGAACACTAACTCGTTATTGTCCATATTTACATTGTATTTGTTTGTATGTTTCTGAATAGATTGTGTGAAAGAATACAATGCTGACATACTGGTCATGGTGGAAACATCAACAACGAGCGGCAAAATCTATAAGACGGTGATGGAATTTCTACAGACATTCCTCAGTAAAATCAACCCGAACAACTACGATAACAATATCACCTTTAGTTTAGCCCAGTATGATAATAAGACTAACTATATCATACGGGAATGTCGACTGTCAAACTTACAATACATCCAGGACGCCATCAAGGAGCTGAGGCAGTCACCTGGAGAGGAACCGGATTGGAACAGTTTGCTGAGGTTTGTCGATGTCCATACGTCCTACACTAGTGTGAAAATTCGTAAATATGTCATGTTTGTAACAGCAGGTCACATCCAAAAAGAATCTGTGGCACATATAAAAAGACAGCTCGTGAATCTGCGTGACAACAACGATGTGATCGTAGTGATGTTTGGGGTTGCTGACCACACAGACTGGACGGTACTAGAAAAGGTATATGATCGTGGGTTTTACACGTTCTCTACAGAGGATGTCGATGTTGCGTCACGTGTTCTTTGGAATGACATTAAAATGACTAACTGTACAATAATTTAAGCAAATCAACAAAGATGTATTGTAAGTTGGTCACAATCGACATCGCTGTTTAAAGAGTCTAACAGGGACAAAATCATGTTTTTTTATCAACGTCAATAGTGATTGTACAGTGAAACTATTCTAGCAACTAATCACAGTATTTTATCGACTTTATTGCACTGAATTTATTTTAATGAATAGTACTCAAACACATTGACTAATATGGCACAATATCCAGATGGTACAATTATTTGGAGCACAAATAAAATGATAGAAAATTACCGTTATACTATCCAGACACTTTAAACGTAATGCAAGATTAGGCTAACGGATGACGTTTTAAAATATAGCTTTGAAGACTTAAAGAAACAGATCTACAGGTATTACCTGAGACGGTAAGCATATTGAATATGTTAATCAAGTCAAATATCCAGGACTCATTTTAAGTCTTTAACTCTCTCCTAGAACCCACATACTCAATGTGTTGATGAAAGATGCAGAACTTCACTTAATACTTTCACTTTTGTTTCCGGCTTCGATCTTGGATCGAACAACATTAGTATATTAATATAAAACGATAGAGTATCTAAATGTCAACATTCACGTTATATATTTGTCAACATTCACGTAACGTTTGTCAACGTTGACGTTATGTTTGTTAACATTAACGTTATGTTTGTCAAGATTCACGTAACGTTTGTCAACGTTGACGTTATGTTTGTTAACATTCACGTTATGTTTGCCAACGTTGACGTTATGTTTCTTTGTCAACATTCACGTTACGTTTGTTTGTCAACATTCACGTTACGTTTGTCAACAATGGCGTTATGTTTGTTTGTCAACATTCACGTTGTTTGTTTGTCAACATTCACGTTATGTTTGTCAATTTTCGCGTTACGTTTGTCAACATTCACGTTACGTTTGTCAACAATGACGTTATGTTTGTTTGTCAACATTGACGTTATGTTTGTCTGTCAACATTAATGTTACGTTTGTTTGTCAACATTGACGTTATGTTTGTCAACTTTCGCGTTACGTTTGTCAACATTTACGTTATCTTTGTCAACATTCACGTTACGTTTGTCAACATTTACGTTATGTTTGTTTGTCAACATTCACGTTATGTTTGTCGACATTTTCGTCATGTTATTTACATGCCAGTTTAATTCCGTATTTTTTAATGCCTTTCGGTATTTTACGAGGTGTCTTTTGTAATAATAATTTTAACGTGACCAGAAAAATGAACATGTGATTTTAGCATGACTAATCGATTACCCAGTAACATTTGCTGCAATACTTCAACTTTAACTGCTTGTGGAGCATCAGCATATCGACCAAAGTAATGTCAAAATATACAAGACATATATTGCATAGCGATGGTGGTTTTGTGATGTGTTTATCAGTCGTTTCCTGAGAGGGTGTGCATACCAGCAGTTTTGTGATATCAACACAAATAGTTATCTCACTATAAGCACACAAGCAGTGTTTCTACTGATGGGCTGTCATATGGAGATGCAGGTCATTTATCAATTTTCTGATTTTCTCTTCTATTTGTTGATGTCTTTCACATTATTTGGTTTTCTCCTGTATTATTTGTGAGCTGGAGACCATCATAGATTGAAAATAGGAGATAGTCGCGTCGAGAGAGTCGCCTCACCTGTGTTTGCTAGTCTGCAGTGTTCATAAACACTGTGCCCAACTCCTAGTGTTTTACATGTAGTTCCCGACAGTGTAAGATGAAGTGATTGCGAGTCTGCTTGTGTATTGCAGATTGCAAATTAAGGGGGAAATATAGCGCTGAATTATTTTTGTTCTGTTTGGTCGTCCTTGATTTTCGGCTACTTCTCTTGGGTGCCCCTATGCAGGATGTAGGTTCATCAGCGGGCGTGGAGCGATTTCTTCATGTACTTTTCCTGCTGGCAAGAGATTACCTGTGGTGTCACGCAGCTTTCTTTGGTGGCTCGTTGAAAAGATCCATATGAAGGAAAAAGAGAGTATTTGTCAAGGACGTGTCGAATAGTGGTAATTTCCGTGTCATTCAATGTCAGTCCTACATCATACTCCAATGTCAACGGTTTCCTGATTACAGACCTAAATGTAGTTAGTTAGGCCTCTCGTCTCTAGGACCATGTCGACATGAGAGACTCTATCCAGGGTGTAGTTAGCAACATCTTTCGGTCGGACTGTAATTGTATTCGACTGTTTTGATCGTAGATCGATCGATAGGAGCGATCTAGTAACTTCTAGTTTATGTTTCATTATGGAAACAATTTGACGGATACCTTTTTTCACAGGGCTTGCACGCCCCTTCTGAATTTCTGCTTCGAAATGATTTGTCTCACCGTACTAGGCAAGGATAAGTGGCAGTGGGTGTTTCTGTAAGAATATCGGTCCCAATCCTGCTAAGTCTGACCTCTCTCTTGGTTCTTTGTAAATGAGGATCTCACTTTTCTTTGTGGTGATATAGAATTTATCCATCCTGGAAGTCTGGTGTGTTTCGTTCAGACATGTTCGGGGTTCTTCTGGATTGTTGCCTGTGGGAGAGAGAGATTTAGAGATTTTATTTTCGCTCAAAGTCCCACTGAAATGTGAAACAAGAGGTCACAATTCGTTACATTGATATGTTACATGGCAGGAGTACAACGGTGCAGCTAATTATAAGCTTACAGACGGGATACTACAGTCTCAGCTGACAGGCCTATATCTTTAACTTCTCTATGAACGTGGTACGTTTTCCCGCCTGTTTCTCGCAGTTTTCATTAGTTCGTTATCGTATGGTTTCAGAGAGACTATCATATCTTTGGTCCTTCTTTCATGTCCTATTGATTAAGAAAATTGCCCGGAGGATTTTTATTTATACTTGTGGATCCATATGTCTGGAGATCCTTCAGTAACAACAATAGGCTGCCGGTTATTCTAATTTAGTGTCATTTCTTCATCGACTGTCGTGTCATACTACAGATCAGCCATTGGTCTTCTCGCTTGGACCGATTGGGTTCTCATCATCAACTGACCTTACTAGACAATGGTGGTCTGGGAATACCTGGCAGAATACATACTTCTCAAAGTTACAGATACAGTTTGACTACTATCCGTTATTTCTTATATTTTGGCTGTCCTTTTGGATATTACTTTTTCATTCTCTTGTTTGCTAATGTTCATACGGCATGTTGGAAGTTAATGTTTATATGGCTTGTTGGAAGTTAACGTTTATACGGCTTGTTGGAAGGGCTTGTTGGAAGTTAATGTTTATATGGCTTGTTGGAAGTTAATGTTTATATGGCTTGTTGGAACGGCTTGTTGGAAGGGCTTGTTGGAAGTTAATGTTTATATGGCTTGTTGGAACGGCTTGTTGGAAGGGCTTGTTGGAAGTTAATGTTTATACGGCTTGTTGGAACGGCTTGTTGGAAGTTAATGTTTATACGGCTTGTTGGAACGGCTTGTTGGAAGTTAATGTTTATATGGCTTGTTGGAGGGGCTTGTTGGAAGTTAATGTTTATACGGCTTGTTGGAAGTTAATGTTTATACGGCTTGTTGGAGGGCTTGTTGGAAGTTAATGTTTATATGGCTTGTTGGAAGTTAATGTTTATACGGCTTGTTGGAAGTTCGGGCCAAGAGGTGTTGTTCAACCTTGTTTTATGAGCATCGATAACTGTTAATAGTGATGTTTCACTGGTTGGTTTAACCGCTAGATGTGCTTCTCAAGTTAAATAGACAAAAACGTCCTTGATAAATATCTAGTAACTGCCGTTTTTGGGGTTTTTTTTCACAACAGCCTTAACCATGTAAGTATTTAAATCTCCGACACAAACACGCTTGAACAACATCTTTTCTAATATATATGTCAACCTATGAGATGATACTATTCCCAACCGACTTTGACCATGTTGGCTGGACATCTCACTCTATATATTTGTATGGGGAAAACATACTATAACAGTTCTTCCTGTAAAATATACCACTACATATTCTTTAATTCTCTGTTGTTACAAGAATACTTTCTGGTACTTAATAAAAATTTAACGCTGGAATTCAGATCCAAACCGATCGGTATTCTCTCGTTGCATTTGGAAGGCCAAGGTGGATTGGTGAATTTGAAAGGCTGTTTGCTAGTTACATCTCATGACCAATAGATATTAATTTATTATTCTACAGGTAGATACAACTTCTCCATTTTAAGATGTCTCTAGGATTGAAGTTCTAACACAACTAGCAGAAGATTTGAGTGTGATGTTTCTATAAAACACGGATCCCCTGACTAGTGTGAAACATATACCAGCACTGACGTGCATAGTGTATACTACCAGATGGTAAGAAATCGATCTACATTTCGGCTGTACTGTAATTAAAAGTACACTTCGGTCGAGCTTAATTTGACAAGATGGAAACAAGTACACACGTTGGGAACAATGTGCTGTAATCAGTTCGTTTTTGTTTACGCTCTAATCATCTACTGGTTGTGTTATAAGAAATTCTATTCCGATGTCATTACCAACCAAGGCAAATCTTCCGGAATTAGAATGTCTTCATTTTAGATATTTGTCCTACTCAATGTTGGTTACATCTGCAGGAGGTAATATGTATTTCTTTACCTCTAGTTTACTATGTCTCTTGTGAATAATGATCCAATTTAATAATCAAAGTCTAGCGTGGTTCAGAGACTTGTGTGTTGTAGTTACAAAGCATACATTTATGTCGATATCATCTTTGTTTTAATGAACAAATAAACAACAAAATAAATAAAAACACATTTGTACAAGTTTAATATGCGTAATACCAGTTTTAAAAACAGGTTTAAATACCTACGTGGATGTATAAGTATGTTTTTAAACATTTTTTTATTAAATCCACTCTACCTTCTAATCTATGAAACATATCCATTATACAGTAGTGTCCATAATAACAGCTGTAGTTAAAAGGCCTCGTTATTACAATTAATATCATTCAGTTTATACATGAGTATAACAAACAAAGCTGTCTGTAGTTCAAGACATCCTGCACTTAAACTAAAAGCTGCATGGTTATGATGAGCCACGTTAACATGGCCTGGATAAGATTTACCTCCCTTTACTCATCATTCCTGGGAGTAGAATTTTAGCAACTTTATCACATACACACATACTACAAGACAAATCCTTGTAATGTATGTTGTTCACTTGTGAGAAACATCACTCCATTACCCTTTTTTAACACAAATTTCGTTTTCAATCATACAATTAAATTTATGTTATATAATCTTTTCCATTGATTGACTGCTTAATTATATTTAGTTGTATTGATACAGTAGACAGATATTATAAACATCAGAATATTAATCTTTGTCATCCATGGCTGAAAACAGTCTGCATCATGTAATATAAAGCCTATGTAAAACTTATGTGTCTATATTCTATTATTATTACATATGATAATACACTTCAAGCAACAATTAATGTTTGGACAAACCAGGTTATACAAAGGGAGGTAACTCCTTGGGGGTTGGGGATGGGACACAGAGAAGTGCACAACAATGCATCAGTATTTCTTTGGAATGACAAACCAGTAATCTATTGTTTATAAAAAAAACTTGTCTTATCATTAACTACTAATTTTGTACTATACAGAGTAGCAACTATTAGTCAACTACCTTCTCCTCCACTAAACTTCTTCCACTAAACTCCTTACACTACCTTCTCCTCCACTAAACTCCTTCCACTAAACTTCTTCCACTACCATCTCCTCCACTAAACTTCTTCCACCAAACTCCTTCCACTACCCTCTCCTCCACTAACTCCTTCCACTACCCTCTCCTCCACTAAACTCCTTCCACTACCCTCTCCTCCACTAAACTCCTTCCACTACCCTCTCCTCCACTAAACTCCTTCCACTACCCTCTCCTCCACTAATCTCCTTCCATTACCCTGCCCTCCACTAAACTCCTTCCACTTTGGTCGTTTCTACTAAACTTTTCCCACCAGGTTTCCCTCTGCTAAATTTCTCCAGCTAGGCTCCTCCATTAAACCTCAAATAAACATGACTAAACAGACTTCACATAACATCTTGTTTCATCACAATATCATACAGTTGCTATTATCACCAGGACAGCCCATATCATCATAAAAATCTTTAAATATTTCATTGATTTGCTGTCATTTATTTCAAAACATCAATATCAAAGATGACACCAAGCAAAACAATTTTGTATTCGTAACAATATCAAGCTTCATGGGTTAAATTAAGGAACAGGTTACAAAAAAATCATACATTTCTGGGATGCTGAAATTTCATGTTTTTCCAAAAATATGCATTTCATTGGCAATTGATTTTGTGAGTAAATCTTCCTAACATTATCCCATGTTACTTCAATGTCAGCATTTATCTGCATATCTTTATCACGGATATATACATTCCTGGATTTAGAGTGCCCAGACAAACAAGAATAAATTCCCCATGAAAATTTACAGTTGATCTACAAAGAATAATTGAGAACAGAATTTGATCTTTCCCATGGACTTTAATAATCGTTGGTCTAGATTATACTTCAGTGAATTGTCTATTTATCATCACAGCATCTAAACCATTATATAGATTAAATATGAGATTAAAGATGAAGCAGCAAAGATCACCAACCAAAAGACATCCTACAGTATATAGACAGCAAAGCAGTCACATCATGTGTTAGCATCATGTTTCAATCCACAGTCAGTAACATAGAGAAGTGGAACCGATGAAATATGATATTTCTGTCTATCCACAAACGCTGGTCACAAAAGTGTATCTAGCACTGGTCTGGTGCTGAGTTAAGTCCAGTCATGTTTAGTATGTGGAGAACACATTTATTTATGTATGTATATCAACTTCACTGGTCAGAATAAAGCACACTTGAAGGACACAGAAAGAACATGGTCGTCTTCAACTGAGAGAAGTGGCTTCCAAAGTTCCAGCAAAGTATCGGCTGACAAAGTCTGTTGCAACTTCCTTTGTGATCACCGTCTCAGGACTAAGATAAACTTTTTGGTCAGGAAGATCAAAGATGACCAGAAGTGGACACCGGTCCTCTAGGTTGGCAAAATCACGCACATTATCACAACATTCATTCTGAAACAAACAAAAAATTAATAAATCTGAAATTAAAGGCCATGCAGAAAGGTAGGTATTCTAAATAATAATCTAATGTTGGGTCCACAATATTGGAAATCCTTGATAAAGAGTATTGCTAATGAAGGGAATTCCAAATGTAGGGAACGCCCAAAATAAAATCTCCCGAATATTGTTTATCCACAATTTACCACATCTGCAAATTAGGGTATTCCCAAATCAAGATATATCAAATATATGTTTCCTAATGTTGCAAGAAATTCAAATTGTAAGGAATCCCCAATGTTGAAAATGCAGGGTACCCCATATCTCCAACAAAGGGTATCCCCAAAGCAAGTTATAAATCAACCCATGCACGGCACCCTAAGTTCTCTAAGCAGAGTATCCACAATGAACAGTATCCTAAATTTCCAAGCAGGGCATCATTAATGCATAGTATGCTAAATGTAGGGTACTCCCAATGTAGAGAATTCCTGATGTAGGTTATTCACACTAACATAGTGTATCCAGATTGCAAAGTATTAAAATATATACCAGGTACAGAGCACTTTCCCCAAGGGTACCACAAATGCAAAATATCTACAACAAAGGTTGTTTCCGAAGTAGTGTATATAGGGTATCTCTGTATCCCCACTGTAGGAAAAGTGTATTCCCCATATAAGAAGTGCCCTATGAATCACACTGACCTCTGAACCTTTCATATTGACCTATTTTACTCTCAATTTGGCCTGCTTACCTCTGTTCCATAAAAGAAGTAGAGTTCTTGATCTTCGCCTTTCTGGTGTTCCTCACGAGCGAGACTCTCCAGAACTTCCTTGCTCATCTCTATATCTGCATCCTCCCCTTCTGTAAATATAAAATAAAATGTCATAAACAATATAATACAAACCTGGGGCTCAAAGGACAGCATCAATGGTTTGGTTTCTAAATCAGTATATAGAAACAAAAGATTGCAAGACCCAATTCATCACAGACATCAAATACGCCCACTAAGTCTAGATCTATGTACTACACCCACTAAGTCTAGATCTATGTACTATGTCAGTTATGTCTAGAGTCACGTACTATGCCCACTAAGTCTAGATCTATGTACTATGTCAGTTATGTCTAGATCTATGTACTATGCCTGTTAAGTCCAGATCTATGTACTATGCCAGTTATGTCTAGAGTCACGTACTATGCCCACTAAGTCTAGATCTATGTACTATGCCCACTAAGTCTAGATCTATGTACTATGCCAACTATGTCTAGAGTCACGTACTATGCCCACTAAGTCTAGATCTATGTACTATGCCCACTAAGTCTAGATCTATGTACTACACCCACTAAGTCTAGATCTATGTACTATGTCAGTTATGTCTAGAGTCACGTACTACGCCCACTAAGTCTAGATCTATGTACTATGTCAGTTATGTCTAGATCTATGTACTATGCCAGCTATGTCTAGAGTCACGTACTATGCCCACTAAGTCTAGATCTATGTACTATGCCCACTAAGTCTAGATCTATGTACTATGCCAGCTATGTCTAGATCTATGTACTATGCCAGCTATGTCTAGAGTCACGTACTATGCCCACTAAGTCTAGATCTATGTACTATGCCCACTAAGTCTAGATCTATGTACTATGTCAGTTATGTCTAGATCTATGTACTATGCCTGTTATCCAGATCTATGTACTATGCCAGTTATGTCTAGAGTCACGTACTATGCCCACTAAGTCTAGATCTATGTACTATGCCCACTAAGTCTAGATCTATGTACTATGCCAGCTATGTCTAGAGTCACGTACTATGCCCACTAAGTATAGATCTATGTACTATGCCCACTAATTCTTGATCTATGTACTACGCCCACTAAGTCTAGATCTATGTACTATGTCAGTTATGTCTAGAGTCACGTACTATGCCCACCCACTATGTCAGTTATGTCTAGATCTATGTACTATGCCAGCTATGTCTAGAGTCACGTACTATGCCCACTAAGTCTAGATCTATGTACTATGCCAGCTATGTCTAGATCTATGTACTATGCCAGCTATGTCTAGAGTCACGTACTATGCCAATTAAGTCTAGATCTATGTACTATGCCAGTTATGTCTAAAGTCACGTACTATGCCCATTAAGTCTAGATCTATGTACTATGCCAGCTATGTCTAGAGTCACGTACTATGCCTGTTATGTCTAGATCCATGTACTATGCCTGTTATGTCTAGATCTACGTACTATGCCTGATATGTCTAGATCTATGTACTATGCCTGTTATGTCTAGAGCCACGTACTATGCCTGTTATGTCTAGATCTATGTACTATGCATGCCTGTTATGTCTAGATCCATGTACTATGCCCATTTATTCTAGATCCATGTACTATGTCTGTTATGTCTAGATTAGGTCTAGATCCTTAGTCTGTCCATACATATATATTCTATATAGAATGAGTGTATATTGACAGATAAGGCTTAAGAACTTGTGGCATTGACATGACACATCTTACACTTTCTTGTCACAAGAGTTAAATTAATTGATGAAGGAAAATGTGAAGCTTCAAGAGCATCCTTAAATATGTTGTAAAAACAGAAAGATTTGATTTCAAAAAGTAAAAGTTGTATAAGGATTGTCTCCCTTTGTTCAAGTTTCATTTATTTGGCATAAGCACACTTCCAATCACTTAGGATTTTCTTCCGAGTTGCCTCAAAGGCTTCAAATTTATGCTATTAGCATCTCTGATGAGTCCTGGAAGGACAAAACATCTGTACGATGTAGTTTAATCCTTTGTTTGGCTCTACTGTAACTAACTCTAAATTTCTGATCTCGTTTTGTATATTAGCATCTTTTGGTTACCTCCCTTCGCCCATGCTGACTTTTTAAAGTATCATCATAAATGGGCAGACAAAAAATCCTGGTAACCAATGAAGTTTGTTTAAAAACAAAGGTATCTTTAAGGAAACAGAACTCAAAACTAACAACGTTTTGTTTCTTTAATTCATTACACTGAACATTTTTTTCAAATTTGCGATTTCACTTATAAAAAAATGTTTAAAAATAAAGTGAAAATACTTGACATTACCTTAGTAGCAAGGTCATAGTTATTGTCAATTTCATTACAAGGACTGGTATCGTCCTACCCATTAACAAAGTATGAACCATGAGTAGAATATTAAACAAACATTAAGAGTCCATGAAGGAATTACACAAAACATATTAAAAAGTTATACAAAGGTTAGTGGTAGTATGGTATGTTGTCACTTCATTAGGTTTTTACGGTCTAAATTGCTTGTGTTAGGTTTGTTAATGCCTCAATTCACAGAACAAGCAAAAGGTTCTTTAGTAAATAATGTTTAAGTAATAGTTTTCTATAAGGTAACTATTTAAACGTTATTCACTTTATTGTAATTGGGTTTGGAAACTGAAACAACAACCAATTTAAAGTAATTAACAGACCAAACAGGAATAGGCACTTCATTGCCACCATGTCTTTTATTAAGAGCCTGAAGTATGTCAAAAATTGTAAACTCTACAGAACAAATATAGCTACTAGACTAATGGAAAATTGTCTAGTACATGAATAACTGATTAAGACTAAACAGAGTTTGGTGTGATAAACAATATATAGTTAAGATTGCCCCTCGCACATAATATTTTACTAAATTCTATCTGTCTACATCTCTGTCCCTTGGCCCACATGTTAGACTATGTCTACACTTATTTCTATCTGTCTTTGATATGTAGAATGACTCATTCATTCCACATCTGTCTGTTTGTTTGTGTGCTTGTCCGTATGTACGTCCATCTGTCTGTCCATCCGTCCCTAAATCTTTTTGCCATCTTTCTGTTAATTTGAGAATTTTGATCCTTACCTGTGAAGAGAACCAGGGAAGGCCTCTCATTTAGAGCAACAGCTTCTAATTCTTTTAAAGGGTTCAGAGGCTTGGAATACCAGGGAAATTCCTGTGTTAAGAAAGGATCATATCTTAACTGTTACAGAACAGACAGAATAATTTACAATACATTGAAGGAACACGTAGGTGAACAAATGTGGTAACTGAGTAAGAGGCCATTAGGCATGCACCAATAAGAATGCATAATCTAAAAATTAATATAGCATAATATATTTATATGTCTGCCAAACGAAGTGACTGACTTGTTTTTAGTGTGTTTCATACTTGATAGTATTCATTATTCAAGTCCCATAGCGCTGGTACATATTGACGAATTTTTAGCAACATCAAACTCATCTGAGATCTCACTGATACAAATTTGACAATTTCATAAAACTTGGTTAAAGTGTAAAATTTTTGATGGAAGCAAAATTTGTTCTACCTGGAGGATGTTGAAGTCTTGTAAAACATAGCTTTATGAACTTAGAACTAATATACTTCAATGTACTTTAATATACCTTAACATATCACAACATACTTACAGTCTTAGCTTGCTGTAGCTTTACTTCAGAATAACAAACTTGAGAAAGAGTGATGCTTTATCTTTTGGACATGTTCAAATGATAACTACCGCAATCATGAAAATAACTGAACATACTTCAGCGTATTTTAATGTACTTTACTGCACATACTTTAGCATATTTCAACATACTTCCCGACTTACTTTCATGTAGTTTACTTTATAATTCATCATTCAATTTGCCATACTTACACATAATGTATTGTTCTTTACTGTACTTATCATACTTCAATGGACTTGAACAAATAGATACATTCATCATTTCCCCTAGTTTAACCTTATCATACTTTAGCTTAAAAATTCTGTAATTATTTCTCTGAAGGTTAAGCTACATAACACATGTGTGACAGAGACTTAATTTGTGGACCAGAATTTATTCCTATGAGATCTTATTGATATAAGAAGATATACCAAATTTATTTTACAGAAAAAATTAAAACTTAACCTTTTCAAGTCCTATAACACTGTCAAATTGTTGGTGGAGTTTGACTTACATCAAATAAGTTGTATTTCTTTTTCATATTAAGCAATACAAAAAACTTTATCATAAGTCTGACATTTATTTGACAGAAAACCAAAATAATATTTATTGTAATGATTTTTAAAGTCTAGTATCTCCTGGAAATATTGACAGATTTCAACCAATATTAACACATCCAAAATCTTATGAATAAATCTGACGGAAAAAACATAAGTTCTTTGACAGAAACCCTAAATACCAGATAAGCTTCCATCTTTGGGGCATAAAAAAGAATCACCATGTAGCTCCATTAAGTTCATACATAAACTGAACATCATGAAAGTTTTATCACAGACTTTCCTTTATAATATAATACACATAAATTTCCACTCGTGAGTAAACAACACACCCGTCCTTCTCGATCAAGGTTGACTGCTGTTCGGCCATTCAAAGTCACTACATCTCCAGCACCATCAAGAATTACAAATGTAGGAATACCTGCAATAAAAAGATTTTTTTACAAAAAAACTTAGAGTAAGCTGTCCCAGGAAAGTCACAATAAACTGTCATAGAGACTCACTGTAAACTGTTATAACAGCTCACTGTTAACTGTTATAAAAATTCACTGTAAACTGTTATAACAGCTCACTGTAAACTGTTTTTATAACTCACTGTAAACTGTCATAGAAGCTCACTGTAAACTGTTATAACAGCTCACTGTAAACTGTTTTTATAACTCACTGTAAACTGTCATAGAAGCTCACTGTAAACTGTTATAACAGCTCACTGTAAACTGTTATAACAGCTCACTGTAAACTGTAATAACAGCTCACTGTAAACAGTTATAAAACTCACTGTAAACAGTTATAAAACTCACTGTAAACTGTTATAAAACTCACTGTAAACAGTTATAAAACTCACTGTATACTGTTATAAAACTCACTGTAAACTGTTATAAAACTCACTTTATACTGTTATAAAAACTCACTGTATACTGTTATAAAACCTCACTGTATAATGTTATAAAAACTCACTGTAAACTGTCATAGAAAACTCACAGTAAACTGTTATAAAAACTTGAAGCAGACTTTTTAATGCAAATTTCCTCCCTTATCCCACCCCACCCCCAAAAAGAGTTATACAAGAATTATCAACTTGAATTCCCATTAACAACTTAGTTTGAAGGATGTCCTTGAGTTATTAGGTGAGACTGGTTAATTTTACAAAATTCAAGTTTAGACAGAACACATTTCATACACTGGAAGGTATACAACACACAAAGACCAATAGCTAGACTTCACATCATTATTGAACTTCTAGTTTCTTGATACTTAAAGACATAATCAATGTAGACTGAATCAGCATTTAACAGTAGATAAAGCACAGTTTGTTATTGATTAAGTCACATACAAGATGATCCATATTTCAATGCTTCATTCACTCCTCAGTCACTCTCAAAACACTTTATCCAAATAAATAATGCAGATGCCACTCAAAGGAATTTCAACAACATTGTCAATTCTTTTGATAATGGACAAATAAGAACAAAAGCACAATAAAAAAAAAGTTCTCAGGATTAACAATCACGTCCTCAGGATGAACAGCCATGTCGTCTGAATTAGTGGCCAAGTCCTCAGGATTAACAGCCATGTCATCTGAATTAGTGGCCAAGTCCTCAGGATGAACAGCCATTTCCTCAGGATTAACAATCACGTCCTCAGGATGAACAGCCATTTCCTCAGGATTAACAATCACGTCCTCAGGATTAACAACCGCATCCTCAGGGTTAACAACCACATTCTCAGGATTAACAGCCGAGTTCTCAGGATTAACAGCCATGTCCTCAGGATTGTCAGTAAAGTCCTCAGGATTAACAGCCATGTCCTCAGGATTAACAGCCATGTCATCAGGATTTACAGCCATGTCCTCAGGATTAACAGCCATGTCCTCAGGATTAACAGCCATGTCCTCAGGATTTACAGCCGTCTCCTCAGGAAGTACAAAGGAGAGTAGACTATCTAATAATTAATATTAATATGTTACAGGAGTCCTTCATTACAGGCTAGCAGCCTTTCAGTACCTGTCTGATATGTGCTGAACCCCTAATTACACACAGTGTTATAGGGACCCTTTTGTATATAGGCTAGCAGCCTTTCAGTACCTGTCTGATGTGTGCTGAACCCCTAATTACACACAGTGTTATAGGGACCCTTTTGTATATAGGCTAGCAGCCTTTCAGTACCTGTCTAATGAGTGCTGAACTCCTAATTACACACAGTGTTATAGGGACCCTTTTGTGTATAGGCTAGCAGCCTTTCAGTACCTGTCTGATGTGTTGAACCCCTAATTACACACAGTGTTATAGGGACCCTTTTGTATATAGGCTAGCAGCCTTTCAGTACCTGTCTGATGTGTTGAACCCCTAATTACACACAGTGTTATAGGGACCCTTTTGTATATAGGCTAGCAGCCTTTCAGTTTCAGTACCTGTCTGATGTGTGCTGAACCCCTAATTACACACAGTGTTATAGGGACCCTTTTGTATATAGGCTAGCAGCCTTTCAGTACCTGTCTGATGTGTGCTGAACCCCTAATTACACACAGTGTTATAGGGACCCTTTTGTATATAGGCTAGCAGCCTTTCAGTACCTGTCTGATGTGTGCTGAACCCCTAATTACACACAGTGTTATAGGGACCCTTTTGTATATAGGTTAGCAGCCTTTCAGTACCTGTCTGATGTGTTGAACCCCTAATTACACACAGTGTTATAGGGACCCTTTTGTATATAGGCTAGCAGCCTTTCAGTACCTGTCTGATGTGTGCTGAACCCCTAATTACACACAGTGTTATAGGGACCCTTTTGTATATAGGCTAGCAGCCTTTCAGTACCTGTCTGATGTGTTGAAACCCCTAATTACACACAGTGTTATAGGGACCCTTTTGTATATAGGCTAGCAGCCTTTCAGTACCTGTCTGATGTGTGCTGCCACAAACAAAAGCAAAGAAAAATAGCATCATGCTGAGGATGCAGAATCAATGATTCTCCTAATTGAATTAAAAAGGAGCTTTCTTTACCACCAGGAAACAGCTGATGTACAGTTGCCTAGAGGCTTGCTTCTTGTTTTATATCCCTCAAACTCAATAGCTAATTTGATTATATTTCTTTTGTTTTCCCAGCAGCTGTTGTACATATCAATTTGCCTTGAGGAATTACTTTTTTATGATTTGTGTTCCTATAACATCACAGTCTATGTACTGTTTGATTGTATTGGAGCCTTTCTACACTTGTGAACTCGTACTGTAAAGAGCTAGATCAAACTTAGCCGGCCACACTTATACAGTGTTTATCACCGATATCTATGACTTCCTTCTCATCAATACTACATGATAGTCTGAACACTAATTCTATCAAGGCCCAACAGCCACATCCAAGTTTCAGAACCAAAATTATTCATCCCATTGATTATTTTTTTCAGACTCTCCTGCTTCCTATTTTGTTTGTATTTAAATTACTCTGCTAGTGGAAGAGATGCATTCCCAGGGGTTTATCTGCTCTAAAGAAATCGTGTAGAATTTGGAACATCTTTTTATGTTTTATATCAATCTTTTATTACTAAAACACTTTTAGCACTGAACTAGATGACAACCAGGCCTGCACTACTGTTGTTTTATCTAAACTACACAAAAATCTTAACTTCAGATGATGGACGACTCAAAAACAAACACAAAGAATGGTAATAATACTGATAAGGGTTAAAACACTAACATTTGTGTCATATTTTGTTAAAATTGATGCAGTGTTTTATGAAGTGGCTGTGAATGATGCTGTAAATGAACACAAAGCATCAAAAATAAAAATCGTTTAAATCAAACAACAAGAACCAATCAGATAACCATTTACAATGTGCCATTCTTATACTTTCCTTTGTTTCTCCCGTGACATGGTGTCTGTCTATTCTGACCTAAAAGGTAAGCTTCAGCCTTTATCTATATGACCCTGAACCTTGACCTACAGATCAAGAGATGCTCTGTTGTCCTTGAAAGTGTTGTCTTTAGAAGATAACTACTGTTTTCTCATCAGCACTAAAGATCTCTTCCCCCAAAGGGGCAGGCCAGGCTCTCTCCATTTATTACCACTCTTAAGCTTATAGATGTTCCTTTATAAAATGAAGTTAAAATGTGTGATAGTTCTGAGAGAGTGGTCTTTGAAAGATTAACTCAAACGATCTCTATTGGGTGTTGATTCTTTGCCTTAAAAGGAGGGGTGCACTGTTCATTACATTAGATAGTCTTTACTTGGCATACTGTTCAGACAGTTCAAATGTACAAGTATCTCTTACTTTGTGAGAAAAAGTCCAGAACTCTCTTATGTTTGTTTTTTTTTTTTCCTTAATTGACTCATGATCATACAGCCCCAACATACACATGAAAAGGAAAGGCCCCGTCCCATCCACCTCCTCAAAAAAGAAGGCCCTGTCTCATCCACCACCTCAAGAGGGAAGGCCCTGTTTCATCCACCTCCTCAAAAAAGAAGGCCCTGTCTCATCCACCTCCTAAAAAAGGAGCCCTGTCTCATCCACCTCCTAAAAAGGAAAGGCCCTGTCTCATCCACCTCCTCAAAAAAGAAGGCCCTGTCTCATCCACCTCCTCAAAAAAGAAGGCCCTGTCTCATCCATCTCCTAAAAAAGGAAAGGCCCTGTCTCATCCATCTCCTAAAACAGGAAAGGCCCTGTCTCATCCATCTCCTAAAAAAGGAAAGGCCCTGTCTCATCCACCTCCTCAAAAAAGAAGGCCCTGTCTCATCCACCTCCTCAAGAGGGAAGGCCCTGTTTCATCCACCTCCTCAAAAAAGAAGGCCCTGTCTCATCCACCTCCTCAAAAAAGAAGGCCCTGTCTCATCCACCTCCTCAAAAAAGAAGGCCCTGTCTCATCCATCTCCTAAAAAAGGAAAGGCCCTGTCTCATCCACCTCCTCAAAAAAGAAGGCCCTGTCTCATCCACCTCCTCAAAAAAGAAGGCCCTGTCTCATCCACCTCCTAAAAAAGGAAAGGCCCTGTCTCATCCACCTCCTAAAAAATGAAAGGCCCTGTCTCATCCACCACCTCAAGAGGGAAGACCCTGTCTCATCCACCTCCTCTAAAAAAGAAGGCCCTGTCTCATCCACCTCCTCAAAAAAGAAGGCCCTGTCTCATCCACCTCCTCAAGAGGGAAGGCCCTGTCTCATCCACCTCCTCTAAAAAAAGAAGGCCCTGTCTCACCCACCTCCTAAAAAAGGAAAGGCCCTCTCTCATCCACCACCTCAAGAGGGAAGGCCCTGTCTCATCCACCTCCTCTAAAAAGAAGGCCCTGTCTCATCCACCTCCTCAAAAAAGAAGGCCCTGTCTCATCCACCACCTCTAAAAAAAGAAGGCCCTGTCTCATCCACCTCCTAAAAAAGGAAAGGCCCTGTCTCATCCACCTCCTCTAAAAAAGGAAAGGCCCTGTCTCATCCATCTCCTAAAAAAGGAAAGGCCCTGTCTCATCCACCTCCTCAAAAAAGAAGGCCCTGTCTCATCCATCTCCTCAAAAAAGAAGGCCCTATCTCATCCACCACCTCAAGAGGGAAGGCCCTGTCTCATCCACCTCCAAAAAAGGAAAGGCCCTGTCTCATCCACCTCCTATAAAAAAGAAGGCCCTGTCTCATCCACCTCCTAAAAAAGGAAAGGCCCTGTCTCATCCACCTCCTAAAAAAGGAAAGGCCCTGTCTCATCCACCTCCTAAAAAAGGAAAGGCCCTGTCTCATCCACCTCCTAAAAAAGGAAAGGCCCTGTCTCATCCACCTCCTCTAAAAAGAAGGCCCTGTCTCATCCACCTCCTCTAAAAAAGAAGGCCCTGTCTCATCCATCTCCTCAAAAAAGAAGGCCCTGTCTCATCCATCTCCTAAAAAAGGAAAGGCCCTGACTCATCCATCTCCTCAAAAAAGAAGGCCCTGTCTCATCCACCTCCTAAAAAAGGAAAGGCCCTGTCTCATCCATCTCCTCAAAAAAGAAGGCCCTGTCTCATCCACCTCCTAAAAAAGGAAAGGCCCTGTCTCATCCACCTCCTCAAAAAAGAAGGCCCTGTCTCATCCATCTCCTCAAAAAAGAAGGCCCTGTCTCATCCACCTCCTCAAAAAAGAAGACCCTGTCTCATCCACCTCCTAAAAAAGGAAAGGCCCTGTCTCATCCACCTCCTCTAAAAAGAAGGCCCTGTCTCATCTACCTCCTCTAAAAAGAAGGCCCTGTCTCATCCACCTCCTCAAAAAAGAAGGCCCCGTCTCATCCACCTCCTAAAAAAGGAAAGGCCCTGTCTCATCCATCTCCTAAAAAAGGAAAGGCCCTGACTCATCCACCTCCTCAAAAAAGAAGGCCCTGTCTCATCTACCTCCTCAAAAAAGAAGGTCATCCACCTCCTCAAAAAAGAAGGCCCTGTCTCATCTACCTCCTCAAAAAAGAAGGCCCTGTCTCATCCACCTCCTAAAAAAGAAGGCCCTGTCTCATCCACCTCCTAAAAAAGGAAAGGCCCTGTCTCATCCATCTCCTAAAAAAGGAAAGGCCCTGTCTCATCCACCTCCTCTAAAAAGAAGGCCCTGTCTCATCCACCTCCTCTAAGAAGAAGAAGAAGGCCCTGCTTCATCCATCACCTCAAGAGGGAAGGCCCTATCTCATCCACCTCCTCAAAAAGGAAGGCCCTGACTCATCCACCTCCTCAGAAAAGAAGGCCCTGTCTCATCCACCTCCTAAAAAGGAAAGGCCCTGTCTCATTCACCTCCTCAAAAAAGAAGGCTCTGTCTCATCCATCACCTCAAGAGGGAAGGCCCTGTTTCATCCACCTCCTCAAAAAAGAAGGCCCTGTCTCATCCACCTCCTCAAAAAGGAAGGCCCTGACTCATGATCATACATCCCCAACATACAATTCAAAAGGTGTATCATTAAATTACAAACATATTGCAGTCCTTACCGTCAACTCCAAATATGTCCTTGAGTTGCTCTGTGCGACTATCTCCAAAGGGAATGGCCCACCAAGGCATTGTTTCTAGGTAACTACTGAAGGACTCTTCACTGCGGTCTGATGACACAAACACCACTTCAATGTGCTTTCCATCAGACTCCAACTGATCGTAACGCTTGATCAACTCTGGGGTGAACGCTCTACAGGGAGGACACTAGTAAATGAGAAAACATTTCACACATATAAATGAGGAATGTGTAAGTGTTTTGTAAACATAATTTGATCACTATGTTAAAAAGTTACAAGGAATATTTGTAATATAAAATGTTAATAGTGAAAGACACACATTGAAACATTTTGTCCCCTCATGCTAATCAAATTCCTATAATTTTGTACATTCACAACAATTGATCACTATGTGACTAAAACAGAGCTGTAAGACATGAATGCCTCCAATCCTATGCATTGTGTGATGAATTTTCAAAACTTTTCAGAGGTAATAGTGAATGCTTTCACCTTCACCAAGGACCACCTTATTCAACAAGGCGTAGAACTTGATAATTTGTGGTAAATACAAACTAAATCTGTTGAAAGATTCTCAAGTTATGATACTGATTCTGAATGTGACATGACACAACAGGTGAGGGAAGTGGTGTGAGGGCCATACAAGGATAACACTATATGCCCCTCCCCCTAATGGTTAGGCCATAACAAAATATTCCAATATATAGTACATAGCATCATTCACTGTCACAAAACATATACAGACATGTGTCGGACATGAAAACCTCCACAGGAAACCAAATGTCTCTCCACAGTCAGTGAAGAAACTGTCCACCATTTAAAGTTCCTACAGGTTTTGGTTTGACTTGAGTCTTTGAGCATAACTGTCAAATGACTGATGATCTGAATCTGGTCCTTACCACTGTTACAGCAAACCTAGCAGCACATAATCACCATGTACGAAGTTGGGAGATTACTTAGACACCACATCTATTCTCCATTTTCACCAACAGCTAAACAAACAGTGATATATTCTGATATTGCTGGAAGTGTTTTTTTTTCAAAGTCTACATATTATTGGTTTTTTTACTGTACTCTTGTCAATAGAAAACTCTGAAAAAAAACTGTCAAACAATTGGCATCCCATTGAGAAAACGTGCTATATATGTCAGGAAAAAACATGTCTGTTAGACAAGTTTGTGTGACGCCAGGAAAGACATGACAAATATATGTATCTGTATGATATGTGGAAAACAGGTCTGATATCTGTTAGAAAAGCATGACATCTCCACAGAAAACATGTATGATATTGAGGGAACAATGTGTGATATCTACTGGTAAATTGTACAATGTTGGAGGGTGAGCACAGGACAGGAAAGGTCTGACATGTATAGCTGCACCTCTGATCTTGTCTCAGTTAAGCTGACAGAACAGGACAGAGCTGATATGTTTAACAGGAACTGTAGGGTTGTGTTAATTCTGTGGTTAGTAAAGGATGGGACAGGACTGACATGTATTGCTGCACCTCCGATATTGAATTGTCTGAAGTTGGTAAAGGAAAGGACAGGAATGACATGTGTGTAGTGGGAAATGTTGGGTTGTGTTAGTGCCCCTAGAGACATCAAAGGGAAACTGACACCTCCAACACTCAGACAAACACATTGTACATCAGTAGTATTCCCAGTTACATGTACAAACCAGAGAAAGGCCAGGTGTATCAGCAACAACTGTTAAAGCCAATAGCTGTGGCACCAACCATTTATCTCCAAGCAGAATTGTTGTAGACTTCCTCATCAAATGATTTCTTTAAGTAATTCAAGATCAAATGATTTTATTATGACGTTCAATATTTCATGTTCAATGTTTTCTCCCTGTGTTTGCATATCTGTGGGCGAGCAGTTGTCATGCTTATAATTATCACTGTTATACCGAAGCTGTTATTGCGTATATGAATATAATATAGAAAGATGAATGAGGAAGAAAAAAATATATCCAGACAACAAGTAGGTTGAACTTTGACCTATATCACCTTGACCTTAATAATAATCACATATCATACTATGCAGGAGCCTGACCTTGACCTTTCAATGCTGAAACTCCAACTCATCTATGATATTATGTTATTCTAAAGCAATAAAGCCACACATTATGACTATATATACATGTATACTAATTGAAAAAAAAACCTATTAATTTCAACTGTTTAATTCTTAATAACGGAGTGAATCAAACAATTTGTTGTGCACAGTTCTGGAACTAATCTAAGTCCTGAAATGCTTCAAACTGTCAACCAAAAGGACTGAATCGGTTACACAAATACATTTCTATATGTATCTTGCCTACACATATTTCTGAGATAGCCTAGCAAGTCATCAACATGTAAATGTTCATTTCCCACCCACCCCCCATACATGGCATGTTACTGGCAAAGTTCTCTGCGGTAAAGCAATATTTCATTTATAGAGTCCATCAAACACTACCCATAATTGAATTATGACTGTTCTCTTTGTACGAGTTGTCTCAGTTCAAAACTTGATGACCACTGAAGCATAACAAAAGGGAAGGTTAATTGTTTTACAAATTGAACAAGCTTTTGATATTTCAAAATACACATTTTACAATTATTGATGAGAAAAATGTTCTGATTTTTTTTTTCTGAAATGACACTTTTTTTTGTTGTTATGTCATCTGTTTTCGATCATTTTGTGCTACACCGGAAATACTTTGAATGCGCGCACAGATGGAGCGTATTTTGCATATCCATGTAAACACAAAATGCTGGCTGAAGGTTCTTGAATAACTAATGCTGAAAAAATGCATCAGAGGCAAAAGTGGAAAATTTAAAGATTTAATCAGAATTCTTAATGAACCATTTTTCTACTAATCCTGCCCTTTTAGGTCAATTTAAAGCACATAGGGAAAAAAATACACATGATTCCTTATTTGTACCGTCATCTGCTGGTGAATATGATCCCTGACGTAATATTATGATCGTGTGATAATCAAAAGTTCAAAGGTCAGCTAAAAAGAAACGAGGGTCTACATGAGCGGGTTGTTGTGCATTTTTTTGTTTAAGATTTTATCATTATTGTATGTATGCTGTGACAGAAAAATACATAATGTTACTTTACAGCAACATAAACAATGTATAAATAGTGTTATGGGAATGGTCAAAATAAAAAAGAAAAAATAACAATTAACCATATTTACAAATTAAAAAACATTTCATTTCAAAAATAACAGAAATCTGTATATGATGCATTTATCAAGTAGGTTTTAAAAAGCAGTATAGATTTGTCATAAACTCAGTAGGTGGTACTACCCATCCAGAGCCGCGATGACGTAGTCATTGGGGACCTCTTAGACTTTGTCACAGGTGATTAAAACACAAGACGGCCATGTTTGAAAACTGTGAGATATCTTTCTTATTACTTGATCAATATAACAAAATTGATAAAATTATACAATGTATGATTGAATTCACAAAAATCATGAAAAACGCTTAGGTGATAGAAAACCCATGACACTAGGATCTATATTTACAATATGCTCTTGAACTTGGACAATATACCATCATCAGACAGGTTGTGATCAATTTTTTTGTTGTTTTATTCTAACAACTGATGAACAAGTACCCTGTGATAGTTCAATAGTCTAAGCAGTGTCTACAATGATCACACAAACAGCATTATAATCCAGAAACCTAGAGTCTATCACAATCTAATCATATGATTCTTCATCAAATCAGATGGTTCACCTGATCTCTCAGTTTCCAAAATAAACACCAATGACGGCAGAGAATGGAAAGAAAACATATACCAGCATCTCATCATCAGCATCTCATCATCAGCATCCCAACTAAAGCTAAACATCATCAGAAGATAATTCTCTGTCACAATATTTAGGTTGGCTGTACGGACATCCCACAAATTCAATTGGCTGAACAAGCAAAGATATTTTACAACAAGAATATCCATAGTAACAGCTGTTAGGAAAGTGTACCAGCTCACAGAAAATGTACTAACTCCTAGGGTGAGATCTGTAACCATGGTAATACCTCTGAGGGACAAAAAGTGTAACCAACATCACAGAAAGTGTTAAATGTAGGGTGGGAACTCTGTAACCATAGTAACAGCTATTAGTGCAGTGTAACCAACAGCAAAGAAAGTGTATAAAATGTAGGGTGAGAACTCTGTAACCATAGTAACAGCTATAAGTGCAGTGTAACCAACAGCAAAGAAAGTATATTAAATGTAGGGTGAGAACTCTGTAACCATAGTAACAGCAGTGTGACCAACAGCAAAGATAGTATATTAAATGTAGGGTGATAACTGTAACCATAGTAACAGTTATAAGTGCAGTGTAACCAACATCACAGAAAGTGTGTTAACCTGTAGGGTGGGAACTCTGTAACTATAGTTACAGCTATAAGTGCAGTGTAACCAACAGCAAAGAAAGTACTTAAAATGTAGGGTGAGAACTCTGTAACCATAGTAACAGCAATGTAACCAACAGCATAAGAAATGTGTTAACCTGTAGGGTGGGAACTCTGTAACCATAGTAACAGCTATAAGTGCAGTGTAACCAACAGCAAAGGAACTGTGTTAACCTGTAGGATTAGAGCTCAGTAACCTTAGAAACCATTGATAGGGAAGTGTAACCAACAGCACAGAAAAAGTGTTAACCTGCAGTGTGAGATGTAACCATAGTAACAGTTATAATGCAGTATAACCAACAGCACTGAAAGAGTGTTAACCTGTAGGGTGTGAGCTCTGTCAGAACACATTTATCTGTAGCATGAGATAACACCGTGACACACTAGATACTATATGCATCCTCTCAAATCACAAGGATTGTATTTTATCACTTACAAATAAAATTAAGTGTGAGATTATTAACAGAAGTGTGAGGGTTTTTTCCTCGTCTCTGTAACACATCAATCCTCCTGATGATAACAGAAATGGTGTGACGCCTCTTTTACACAACAACTTAATCCTTCAAGGAAAAAGCAACAAACAGATCCTGTGGCAAAAATAATGTAAACTTTCAAAATGCAAAGTCGTAATATGTTTAAATTTTCTTTTACGTTTCTAGTTTTTCTTGCTTCATATGAGTAAGGAATAAGATATGAAATATTTCTAGAAATTTTTCAAATATTCTCAGTTTACACCTAGTCAGAAAGCATCCACCTAGGAATGATAAGACCTGTAGTGTATGTAGAGATTTCTAGTTTAGTCATGCACATTGAGAAAATCAGACATTTTTTAGGATAGATTTTATTATCATTCTCATCATTTGAGGAGATTACCACTGTTTGTGGCTACATTACTGCAGTATAAGAACACATGCATTACATTCCAGTCAAGCTTATTGTAGGCCTCAAACAGTACCTATCTACATCAAAGTCCATCTGTTCCTGTCAATTCTTCACTAACATTTGTGACCTGGATGTTCCGTTACAGACAACATAACCTTCATTAATCTAGAGGAGGTAAAACTTAACTAGATTAATTGTCAATAATGAAGTTCTGGAGTGTGAAGCATCACAAACAACCAGAGAACGAGGCACTAAAATCTTGTTGTATATCTATGAGTTACTATGACGATAACAAATTTCCAGTTCTTTACAAAACATTTACCAGTAAAGTAATAAAACTAGTAATTGTACACAATGTGACTGATTTAACTCATCATTGATTCATTTAAGCATAGATAATAATTTTCAAGTTAAAAGATAAAGAATTTGATCTAGACCTTGAACTCTGATCTTTGACCTTGCCTTTCACACCATGACCTTGACTATTAATCAGCTGTTTTGACTTTGTCTAGTAGTCAAGTGATATGTCAGCTGTTTGTTATCAATTTCGCTCATCAAAATATGAGTAAATATATATCAGTAACAAACTCAAAATTTGACCATGACCTTGACCTCTGACTTGACAATCTTTCAAGTTTTACTAATATATATCTCGAATGGTTCACTGACCTAACTTTAGTGCACTCTTCATTTCGAAGGAGAGAAAATGTCCTCGATACTCCAGGGGTTATGATTATTTTCACTCTCTGACTCCTGGAAAATGTCATGGCAAAGTTGAAGGCAAAGCGAAGTAATTTCATTGGCTCTGTGAGAAAAAAACTGACCAATCACAGGCTGATATGTTCCTTTTGAAGATTATACAGGAGAGACACCCAACTTCCAAGCCATTACAATTCACCGTTATGTGACCTCAAGATTCTTTTGAAAGGATCAATCTATGGTCTTTTCGACTTGTCCACAAGGTGTTGCACATAGAACCTTCAATTTTGTCAGGACATGTTCCAAGGGTGCAGAATAAAAGTGACTGTAATCTGTGGAGTGTCGAGGATTGGGAGAAATGTATAATTTCAATTCAATTCATCCAGCATTTAGAAAGGAGCAGTAAACTCACCAACACTGCAGTTCCTTTTAATTTTCAATGTCATAGCTCCTTTAATTACATTTATGATTGATGTAATAGGTGTTTTAAATTGTAAACTTTCTCATGCTTCTTCAGCAATCATAAAAGTACTTTCTACAGTTCAAAAGATTTCAAGGCATCTCATCTTTGTACAGATTAATTTTTGTTAACATTTACAAAATGTTTACTGGTAACATCCAATAAAAAATTGGTGTTAATTTTCAGGGAGTTACATCATAAAAAGTAACTGATATTACGAATCAGCAGCAGAATAGATTGTGAGGATGAGAAATGTTCAAGCTGTGGCAGACACCATAAGATAAAAGCAATACATCACTATATGATGCTGCTACTCACTAATATATAGGTATCAGTACAATCACACCAAACCCTGATGTATGGAGCTGATCACTAGCTCCAATACCTGGCTCCTATATAGATTTAACTAATCCATATAATTCAGATTAGCCCCCTCCCAACCAAAACACCAGGAGGAAAATTTCTTTTTAACTAGAATCATTTTTTGACTTACAACATTCTTGTCTACTTATCCCTTCCGCAACTGAAAACAGTTCATTTAACATGTACATGTTGTATACCCATGCCTCAACTGTGAACAGTTCTCCAGTTTTATATCTAATTCTATATAGATATATGTATGCTTGAACTGATGTACCACTCTCATTGTCTTGAAAAAATTAAAGTCTCTTTTATATTATGTTGAAATGCATGCATTCTCTAAAACAAAAAATATCCAATATTTTTTTTTGTTTGTTTTGCTCATGTACATAAATTTGTAACTAGTTCAAATTTTAATTCTGTCTAACACTCTGTCAAGTGATAGAAATAAGATAATACTGGTAATGAAAAGCTGAGAAGCTTGTTTCGAAATAGCTGTCTGTACAGGAAATTTAAATAATGCAACTTTTATCACCACTCCTGGGATGACTTACACATGCATTAAAAGAATGAATAGTTACTTTATCCAAACAATTATTTACAGGAAGGCAGTGAATGCCAATATGCTATATGACGATACCACAGATTTGGTTTAGATAGGGATCAGTAAGATACAGGAATCCCCCTCCATCTTGAGCCTAGTGAGAGTTACAAATCACACATTTCTGGGGGTGGTAACATTACCTCCTTATATCATCCTCCCCTTACTCTACCTCTGATTTATCTGACATTTTACTACCGACACCAAGCATGCTGATGTTGAGGCCCTGCCACAGACATCACACCAATTGCTGTTAAAGCATTTCTTTGTGTACAGTTTTAAAAAAAATTCAAATTTAGTTTTTGGAAAATTTTTGTAAGTGGTAATGGTAATGTAACTTTGAATTCTATACATTATACCCTAATTGGCCAGTTGTTAAACTACTCTTTCATTCATTGACCAATAAAAAAGGGGACATGGCTGTACATTCCATCTTGTTTTACAGAACATAGGAACTAGTCTAGAATTTTACATTGATAGTATACTTGTAATATTTACTTAAACTGAACTTGCATGTATGCCTCATTATATTTAATCAATGATAAAAACTTTCAGGAGCAAATTTGATTCTGAGTTTCTGATTAGGTCCAAATATATATCTTTTTCTTATCAGCCTCAGAGGCCAGATCTTACAAGGTTTTCTATTCATACAGACGCCTCTCAAAATCTTTTTTCAATTTATCTGCCTCTGGCAAAGGAAAATGGAAAACGGTTTTTATAAATCTCAGATGAAATGGAAAAAATACATAGATTCTGTTTATCGCACAACTTTGATACTTTAAAAAAAAAAAAATATTCCGCTCTCATTAGAAATAATATGGCATCAGAAAATGCATTATTAATCTTGTAAGTTTTTTATAATTGACTAGAAATAAGTCCATATATTTATATAACTCTACTAAACAACAACTTATCTAAATACATTGTGACTATTTTAGGCGATCTGACCACACAGGGATAATGTACAAGTTTTACATGCTGTAACATGTTATTGAATGCTCAATATTCAAGTGTCGACTGATTTCTATCGTTCCCATATAAGTATGGTTGCCTGTGACCTTATAACGCAAGGCTTCTCAATGATCATGATCAAAAGATGATTCACTAATCTAATATGTTGATTGTATACTACTCATTTTTGGTCTTATCACTTTATCTAATCAATACAAAAAACAAATTGATTATTTTAACAATCCAATAATGTTTTAATCCTGGAATCATATTCAAACGTTGTCTGCTTCCTGGCTTCAGTAAAAAGATGGCAGCATTGAGAGGCTCATGTTGATGTAGAATACTGAATCAGCAACAAAGGTGTATTGATCAGAGGTATTTTCAGCTATAGAATTAAATCATGTGTTATATAACTATAAGGAATGATTTGCATGGAACGTGCATCAATGACAAGGTTAACTAATCGCAAAATGAAGGCATAATTTAGATAGGAATTGCAAACTGTGACCAGTTGACAGGTTACGACTCAAGAGTTTGAAGCTCAGCTACGATATTGTTATATACACAGATATTATAAATACATATTTTTGTTCTTCTTTGCTCTTTCTTAATATTTTTTTCATGTAACACTGATGTTTTATAAAATTTAATAATAATGATATTTATAAATACTATTCCAAAAATCATTTCCTAACAGAGTTTTATATATGTTTATTTTCTAAAAAATGTTTCACCCCTACCACTGTATCATGTGTCACAACACCCCAATAATATACAGTTATACATCAATACCAATTTCGGAAAGTGCATTTGGAAGAAAAAATATTCAAAAATCTAAGATTATTGATTTCCAAATCTATTGCATGTGAATCCTGACCATCTCCGGTGGTTTTGACATAAGCACATTTACAGATTCTCGCTTGCTTCCAAGGACTGTATTTCAGATTGTCCAATTCTCTATTTTTTTCCACGGTACTTGGCATGCATCCACAAGAATTGATAATACATATTTGAAATATAGTTATCATACTACTAAATTAGCAGGAATCATACTTGTTATTTCAGTAGCGTAATATTATTTCACATGATAAATGCCCAATTCATGTGATGCACCAAACAGCCGATATTGCCAAGAAAATTTATCTCAAGCTAAGCTATCATCTACCTGCCATATTTTGCTTGATATTTCAGCGCTATCAATTATGGACTCAGGCTGGCACAGGTTTATCATTTCAGTTACATTAGGTCACTATGAGGCCAACACAGATCTTTCACCAAAACATTGTAACTCCCAACAACCTGAATCATTCACTATCATTATGTGCTCTCATTTAGCATTTGAGAGAAGAATTATCAAATCTGCAAAACAGCTTCCGGAAAGAAATATCTAGAACAGCTGATATTTTATATTTCAACTTTTATATTACTTATTACTAAAAATAATTTTCATTTCATATTGCAGTAAAAACTTCCGAGTCGGTATGAATTTTCTGGGTCGGGCGGTATGCCAAAGCAGCTTTTGCTTAGACCTGAAATAAAGACCTTTTCCAGTGAGCTTAAAAGCACCCAACAAGTTGAAAACTTATCCACTTCAAGAGAGCTTAAGGCACCAATAAGTAGAGAAATATACCTCCTAAATTTCCATTTCTAGCCGTTTTTTATCTTTACATTCTACCTGTACTGAGCTGAAATCTTACCCAGTGAGCAGAGAAGTAGATCCCCACAAATTTCCCTTTCAGTTGTTCTAAAGCATCACATTCCTCCTTTCGATTGTTTATAAGTTTGCCACTGATAACTTCTGTGAATTTCTTCTTTCGCCATGGAAACTCAAGACCTTTAGGATCATCAGTAAGGCGCGTGTATCCATCTGTAGTTATTGTTTTCCCTGTTTCTCCGTCTAATAAGACAAGCTTGGGAATTCCCGGTACCCGGACTTTCTTTAACAGTTTACTCTGTAAACAAAGAAAAAAAGAGGTTAAGTCATATCTCTTTGAGACTGGTATATAAATTTATTTGCCAAGACAATAATTCCTTCAGACTGGTATATTAATTGATTTGCCAAGACAATAATTCCTTCAGACTGGTATATTAATTGATTTGCCAAGACAATAATTCCTTCAGACTGGTATATTAATTGATTTGCCAAGACAATAATTCCTTCAGACTGGTATATAAGTATTTGCCAAGACAATAATTCCTTCAGACTGGTATATAAGTATTTGCCAAGACAATAATTCCTTCAGACTGGTATATAATTATTTGCCAAGGGACTGATATATAAGTATTTCCTTCAGACTGGTATATACAGACTGGTATATAAGACAATAATTTGCCAAGACTGGTAATAATTCCTTCAGACTGGTATATTAATTTATTTGCCAAGACAATAATTCCTTCAGACTGATATATAAGTATTTGCCAAGACAATAATTCCTTCAGACTGGTATATAATTATTTGCCAAGACAATAATTCCTTCAGACTGGTATATAAGTATTTGCCAAGGTAATATTTCCTTCAGACTGGTATATAAGTATTTGCCAAGACAATAATTCCTTCAGACTGGTATATTAATTTATTTGCCAAGACAATAATTCCTTCAGACTGGTATATAAGTATTTGCCAAGACAATAATTCCTTCAGACTGATATATAAGTATTTGCCAAGACAATATTTCCTTCAGACTGGTATATAAGTATTTGCCAAGACAATAATTCCTTCAGACTGGTATATAAGTATTTGCCAAGACAATAATTCCTTCAGGCTGGTATATTAGTTTATATGCCAAGACAATATTTCTTTAGGGATTGTATATTAGTTTATTTGCCAATGTGTATCTCTGTAGATAGATTTTGATTCAGCAAGACAAATGACAGGCATTAATCATATATTTCTCTCACTAAATCCAGTCACCTTCAATAAACAACAAATAAACTTAAGGGACTCAGCCCTATATTATTATATATATAAAAACCATTTTGTAAATGTTTTGTATTGACTTTTCCATGAATAACAGATTTGTACAGTAAATATTGATTTCTTTTTTCTGTTTATTGTTTGTTTATAATTTTCAAAAACCTTACAAGAAAAAAAATTACGATAAAGTTAAATTTTGAAAAATATAAGTTTTTTGGCATTTTGCACCAAAAATTTAACAATGCAATGGAATAGTTAGATTGTCAGTAATTATATTTACAAAGTTTAAAGACAATCTAGAAATAAATTGTGAAAGGGTAAAACCTTTTTGTTAAAGTGACAAGTGTACACAATAATTCAAACGTAAAAATGTTAGAATAGAATTTATTAACGTAACATGTAGAAGACTTCAGAGTGACGTTTTGATGAAAACACATCCACCTTCATAAAATGTGACCAGGGTGACCACATACATAACTATGCTACTGCATCTTGGAAAAATTCTCCAGGTAGGTTATGTCAATAGAATAGAGGTGCTTAAAAGACAACTGTAGGAAGATTTAAGTATGACATTTCGGTAACTTCACGGTCAGCTTCATCGGATGGACATCAGTGCTAGTACATTTCACACTGGTCGTTTGTCTAAAGAAGATGAAAATGTAGCCATCAAAATGTCACGTCTATTCCATAAATCTTCCACTGGTTGTTTACAAGCATTCCAATTTTAGCACATTATCATGTTATTGTCAATTAAAGCATTGATGAATTTATACATCCATAATAATTGCTACTCAAATAACATACAGAAACTACAATTAGTACAATCATGTTTTAGCGTAACATTTAAGAGTAAAAAAAAACTATAAAGTATGTTATTCCATAGTAAAACAGACAAGTGCCTTTATAATCACTTAACATTGGCTTCATGAGGCAAATCTAAGTCCATCATTTATTTTCCAATAAAACTACATGACTGTGCACAACACCACACATAATTCTGTATGTGAAGTAATCAGATGGAAAAATCATTATCCTAAATTTATGTAATATTAGCGGGATTTGGAATATGATCAGGTGACAGAGCTTGAATTACAGGCTTGGGACATAAAACTGTACAATGGATATGTTATAAGACTGGGCTCTTGTATTGTCGGAGAACTTTGTGACTAGCTTGCATATTGAATCCATGTACTGGTGATTTAATATCAATTTTTTAATGACATTAATAATTAATGATACTGAAATTATTAAAAATATCAATAATGTGATATAACAGTGCAATTTTCATTTCGTAATTAAGAATTTTATAGATTGGATCTTGGGGCAGGACAAAAGGCCTTCAAGTTCCCAGACAATCTCGGCTCTAATCGATACAGTACCCAAATCCAGTTGAATGTATAATGAAACAATATCAGGTTAATGTTTGTCACATGCCTGCAACACAACACCAGAATCCTAGATTTATTCCTGTACCATTTATGGGGATTCATAGCTGTGAAATTCAAGAGATTTATTCGTAATAAAAGTCTATATGGTTAAAACTACATGTACTAGTTTATCTAACACAGTAAAAAAAAAAATTAAAATGAAAAAAAAATATGAAACAGATTATCTTAAGAAAACAAACTGAAGCCAACTAACTGAAAATTCCCATACTTTATATACCTCACGACAACCAACAGCTAGCAAACTGCTCTCATGTTGTTCATTTATATAAACTACGACAACAACGCAGCCTTACTGTCCTACACTTTGCATGAACTATGACAGCAATGTCGCCTGACTGTCCCACACTTTGTATGAACTATGACAACAATGTCGTCTGACTGTCCCACACTTTGTATGAACTATGACAACAATGTCGCCTGACTGTCCCACACTTTGTATGAACTATGACAACAATGTCGCCTGACTGTCCCACACTTTGTATGAACTATGACAGCAATGTCACCAGACTGTCCCACACTTTGTATGAACTATGACAGCAATGTCGCCTGACTGTCCCACACTTTGTATGAACTATGACAGCAATGTCCCCTGACTGTCCCACACTTTGTATGAACTATGATAGCAATGTCGCCTGACTGTCCCACACTTTGTATGAACTATGACAGCAATGTCACCAGACTGTCCCACACTTTGTATGAACTATGATAGCAATGTCACCAGACTGTCCCACACTGTGTGTGAACTATGACAGCAATGTCGCCTGACTGTCCTACACTTTGTATGAACTATGACAGCAATGTCGCCTGACTGTCCCACACTGTGTGTGAACTATGACAGCAATGTCGCCTGACTGTCCTACACTTTGTATGAACTATGACAGCAATGTCACCAGACTGTCCCACACTTTGTATGAACTATGATAGCAATGTCGCCTGACTGTCCCACACTTTGTATGAACTATGACAGCAATGTCACCAGACTGTCCCACACTTTGTATGAACTATGATAGCAATGTCACCAGACTGTCCCACACTGTGTGTGAACTATGACAGCAATGTTGCCTGACTGTCCTACACTTTGTATGAACTATGATAGCAATATCACCAGACTGTCCCACACTGTGTATGAATTATGACAGCAATGTAGACTGACTGTACCACACTTTGTATGAACTATGATAGCAATGTCACCAGACTGTCCCACACTGTGTGTGAACTATGACAGCAATGTCGCCTGACTGTCCTACACTTTGTATGAACTACGACAGCAATGTCCCCTGACTGTCCCACACTTTGTATGAATTATGACAGCAATGTCACCAGACTGTCCCACACTTTGTATGAACTATGACAGCAATGTCCCCTGACTGTCCCACACTTTGTATGAATTATGACAGCAATGTCACCAGACTGTCCCACACTTTGTATGAACTATGACAGCAATGTCCCCTGACTGTCCCACACTTTGTATGAACTACGACAGCAATGTAGCCTGACTGTCCCACACTTTGTATGAATTATGACAGCAATGTAGCCTGACTGTCTTACACTTTGTATGAACTATGACAACAATGCAGTCTTACTGTCCTACACTTTGTATGAACTATGACAGCAATGTAGCCTGACTGTCCCACACTTTGTATGAATTATGACAGCAATGTAGCCTGACTGTCTTACACTTTGTATGAACTATGACAACAATGCAGTCTTACTGTCCTACACTTTGTATGAACTACGACAGCAATGCAGTCTTACTGTCCACACTTTGTATGAACTATGACAGCAATGTAGCCTGACTGTCCCACACTTTGTATGAACTACGACAGCAATGTCGCCTGACTGTCCCACACTTTGTATGAACTGCGACAGCAATGTAGCCTGACTGTCCCACACTTTGTATGAACTACGACAGCAATGTCACCAGACTGTCCCACACTTTGTATGAACTATGACAACAATGCAGTCTTACTGTCCACACTTTGTATGAACTATGACAGCAATGTAGCCTGACTGTCCTACACTTTGTATGAATTATGACAACAATGTAGCCTGACTGTCTTACACTTTGTATGAACTATGACAACAATGCAGTCTCACTGTCCTACACTTTGTATGAACTACGACAGCAATGCAGTCTTACTGTCCACACTTTGTATGAACTATGACAGCAATGTCGCCTGACTGTCCTACACTTTGTATGAACTACGACAACAATGTCACCAGACTGTCCCACACTTTGTATGAACTACGACAGCAAGGCAGTCTTACTGTCCCACATCTAAGAAATGTGAAAACAAAACATCAATATTTTGTATTAAGCTTTTAAATCAGTGTTCAATTCAAAGAAAATATTGTTGCATGATGAATAAAATCCTGACTAGCTTCATTGTCTCTCAAAAAACCATTTTTATATTAGTAACTATTGATGTCTTTTAAAACACCAAGAGGAAAACTTAAGTGTTACAGTACTCAATACCCAGCCATTTACACGAGGCCTCAGTAAAGATTACACCTACTTCAGTGTCACAATGGATATTTACCAAAGCTGTAAAGTTTATGTAATAACCTTGTAGAAGTTTCCGGTCTTGTA